ATATATATATATACGCATGTTCGAATCACATCCGAGTTCTATACGATGTCATCATCCCATCGTCTCATAATTGCTTGTAACATGAGATTAACCGATTAAATGACTTGAAAAAGGCCTTCCAGGAGGGTCGAAACGTGGTCACCAACGCCTTGTGTTTTGGTTTTTCATTCGTCGTGCCTAAGACAAGCTAATTTCCTTAATAATCATGAACTAGACACCCAAGTTTTCAGTGAGATTCGTTCCATCCATGGACCTCATGTGATTGACCTGAGTGGGCACTTATTTCTTTCGCATGTACATAAAATTGTGGTTTCCTCCGTGGTCTTGGGTAACACATTGTTGGGGACTCGAAATAATGGGTGGTAAACTGAGAATAGGAAAGCTCAACAGTTGTGGAAGGGAAACAACGTGGTATGTTGGTGTGGTAACGTGGAAATCTGTGGAGCCGAAACCTCGATCAAAGTGCGTACTTTGTGAGAGCAGAAATTCGAAAATCTACATGATGTGTTCATAGGTTGTGTGGGGATGTTACTTCCCGGTTGTCCTGACCGAGGAAAGGGGAAACCTCGGGGACCCCGCCCAAGAAAATCAGATCCGCTAGGTGTTGGAAAATTACTTCTACCGCCCGTTTATTCAATATCTGTATGCTCCAGGTAGCTCATGGGCGGCCAGAATATCCCTCCTGTAAATTCGTTGCGCGCTTAGGTATTCGATAGAAAATCATGTGAGTGCCAACAAGTTGAGTCAAAAGGAAAAGTTCCATCCAATCCTGGGTTTTATCCAAGTGAATTGCAGAGAATGATATCAGTAGATAGTGCAGCTTTGATAAAAAATTTCGATGCTGTTTCCAGTTGAATTTATCCATTATACTCATAAAAAAAGAAAAAGATATCAAATTTATCTGGTTACCATTAGAAACAAGACAAGTATAATGCTATCTCACCTGACCAATGGATTGCATACCACTGTCATCCAAGCGCGTGGACTCTAATGCTGACTTGATACGGTCCATGATTGCAAGTTGCACTTTTTTCACTTCCGATAGCTGTACCGTTTGTCCAGAAATTGCATCTACTTTTTGACTGGGAAATTCCCACAAACTGGCAAGTAAGCCTGAACAATGAGAAGATAAATCGATATTAATGACCGATGATAGTGCAGTTGTGGCACGGTATATGGCCGTATATCACTGAACAGACCATGCTGCACCCTACATAATTGAACTTGTACTTTCCAAATATACACGTCTAATGAACAGCAGATTTGGATATATACTTATCATTATTGTGTGACTCAGACGAAAATCAAAATCTTAACTCAATGCTACTAATGTCTCCTGGGAAGAGAACAAAAGCAGCTTTTTCGCCCAATTCAAGAGTAAATTTCACCAATCGGTGTAAACGAACAATAAGAACGGGCGGAAACTATAGAAAATTTTACCTGTTTTCGGTCGCTGGAAGAGCAGAAAATGGGACAAGCCACCGTGCATCACATGTAACACAACTACCACTGTTGTCTCTTCTCGTACTGGTCGTTTACTCAACTTCACCGGGAAGTTCGTTACACCCAGACTACAGGTAGGAATAAAAGGACATTGATAAGAAATCGGTATTTTACTGAGACTTTTGTATGCAGGTATGCTCATAGATCAATCGAAACAAAGCCAATGCGCAAGAAGACAGAGTGAAAAATAAACCAAACACTGGATTGGTATTACTCATACCACACATATAGTCCTATCGGTTTAGAGGCCTGTTAGTGATGTATACTTATGTATCCTAGATGGGGATAGACTCATGAACCTCGTATTCTGCAGCTGAGGTCCAGATATTGTTTAGTTAAGCAGCCGACGAGTTGCAGTTTGGTAGCAACTTTTTATTCATTTAAGTATTTTTGTATCTTTGTTGGAAATAACACGTTCTTGCACAACTAGGAGAAAGAATATGGATTATGCCTAGTTCATACAACTGTACGCTTAGTGGTCATAAACCTGTCACCAAAGATCACCCTTTAGCAAAAGGACAGAAACAGACTAGTCAATTATTCGTTCGACCCACCTGAATTTATACACATCACTGGAAATACAGAGGGTACAATCTTCAATATCTGGAGCCGAAGGCGGAGGAATGGATCTGGAAGAAAAACACCCAATTCAATTACAAGGGGTGGAACAGAGTAGAACCAACCCCGTTAGCCTTGTGCTGGTCAATTTACTCATGGCAGCTGATGAGCGCAATGCGTTCCGTTCCTGTGCATAAGCCATGCAGATATCAGTGGTACCCAGAGGGCATACAGTACAACTGGGCTGTTTTGGAGTGCATACAACTGCTCCCAACTCCATCAGGGCTTGATTGAAATCACCCGGACGGTCGAGATCCACTAGCTGATCGGCTAATTTCCAAAGCAGCAAATTTGTCGAGTTCAACTGAACCGGAGCGCCAATACAACGGAGCCGAGTAAGCACACGAATCACATTCCCGTCAAGCACGGGAGCTTGCTAACAACAAAAAAGCAAATTAAAATTAATAAACTGCATGGGGTTAGAAGAATTCGCAACAGCGTGCGAAAGAAAACTCATTGAATTCATTCTGCCCTGTGCCTTTTTCTTTTGTTGCTGAACTTAAGTTACACACATGCTCAGCCAGTTGAGAAATATGGAAATAAAAGAAGCAAAAATCTAACAGCGGAACCGGGGAAAGTGCATGCGCGAAGCAGCACGGGTGACACTGTTTACTATACTGGGCAAAAAGTACACCGGGTTACAAACGAAACGAAGGCACATCAAACTGAATTGAAATAATAACTAAAATTCTTCTGTCTGTTACCACGAAACCAGTAAACCTGGTTTGCTGATTACACGTTTAGTCTAGTGACAAAAGCAGTGTTGGTAACCTTTGGTTTGAACTGATTCAGCTTTAGAATAGATTTTCAGTCGCCCTTATTCACTACGTGCAAGGGGACAATCATTTCCAAGATGATGAAAAATTCAATCGCAGTTTTTTTGTGTTGCAGCATAAATCCACTGTGCTAAATGACACTCAAGTTGGTTGACGAGGACATGTTCGGTTGGAAGTTGCTACGCAATGCTGCAAGATCATCCTCCAACTGAAAATGTTTTGGTTTCGTTGAAAATCCATACAAACGTTCTGAAATACCATGTTTAAAAAGGAACGTGAAACCAAAGTTAGCACAACCCTCCTAAAGATACAACTGAACAAGTCAACTTGATTTACAGCTCTATCCACGAGGGACAACAGATCTCAGATATTTCTCCGTTGAACAACGTACAAAGGTTTACTGACAAGGACTAATGGGAAACCATTATGAAGCCAAAACCAAATTGCTTTCCATTTATCTATGCTGAGTTCGATTCTGTAAAAAGAGAGGATTTCAGTGAATTTTACTGAGAGTATTGTGATCTCATGAACCCCTAGGTACCACCCGCGGTTCCTTTGATGTGAACGATCTCCTTAAATAGGTTTTCTATCACAATCAGTTACCTGCTACTATATCCTTTAAACTTTCAGTGAAACTGTTGTAACCTCAAGTGAATCCCACTAATCGCATTCTGTTGGGAAACCCACAAAGTGATTAGTGCTTCAGCCGTCGCCCGTCACCGATTAGACCGGGTCTACCAAAACCCCGGCCAGTCTGAATGAACTGATTTTTGGTAGACAAACAGAATTACTTTCTGAGTAAGTTACCACGCGAGGATGAAAGTTCTGATGGGATGGGATTTGACTGTTCATCCCCCTTCCTAACCTCGACCGTTGATCAAATGAGCTTTAGACGAGATGTGACAGACCCGGTCGGCTGAGTAAGGAAGTGAATCACGTGAAGATGGATCGATAGATCGATCACCATGCTCGGACGGAAATATTGGAATGAATGGACTCAGTTTCTCCCTTTAGTACTCAACTTCGTCGCATAGGTCCTTATCCTTGTTGCGACATCTATCATCCTCGTCACATCTGTTCACAGTCTCAATAAATCTATACGATCCTTATAATTCGATGAATGAGATTCGCGGTAAAAGGAATAACTCATTGTAGTATGCAGGATTGACCCCAGTTCTGAATTAAATCGAAACACAACAGCTTGATTACGGGCAACGCAGTTCGCATTCCGTACCAAATGGCGTCGTCCCAAAACGGCCGCATAATCCCTAACCACTTATCGACGCCCTCAATACACAGGTAGGACACATTTTGGACTCGGAACGAAGCTCCAAGGCTTTATCTCAAGTCCGGTGGTGCACTTAAGAGGTGGTTACAGTACAGCAGGACTCAGACGAACAGTATTCAGAAAACTGGTGTACCAAATCGTGATATACATCACTCCCTGTTGGTGTCATTGTATTATTGTAATAAATGAACAGTAAAAAATCTTTCGAAATACCTCATTGAAGGCGATGCTGGCAATCGCCCCTGCTGTATAACGTCCGATACCAGGAATAACCGACTTTAATTTTTCAGCACTGTTTGGTATGGTTCCACCGTAATCAGCTACAACCTATATGAAGGACGCCAGATTATTATATAGTTTTACACCACAGAAGCATATTAGCTCACCTTCTTAGCACCCTCGTAAACAAGACGTGCACGTGAATAATAGCCAAGACCAGACCACAATGAATTTACTTCCTGGAATTACGGTGGTGTGAAACGGATGAACAGTATTGAGAACAACCTCAAGGGTAGCTTCAGACAGTGCAGCCACGGTCGGCCATTTCTAAAATGCAATTAGTCATCAAAACCGACAGTGCTCACCTTCATCCAACGCTCGTAGTACGGTATTACACTTTTTACCTGTGTTTGTTGTAACATAACCTCAGATATCCAAACTAGGATTGTAAATGGCACCGGTTTGCTGCAGCTCACCTGCGTATGCCCGCACATTTACGTCCGGGTAAGTAATCTAAAACAAAACACGTACTGAGATGCGAACTATAACACAAACCATCCGTCTCCATGGTAAATCGCGTTTATTGGCACCATACCAAATAAGCAATGCCTTTCTAACATGGTCTATTTCTTCGGATGTGAATACGTGTCCATTGCTACACGCAATTTCAAGGATAGAAAGCGACAAATGACATGTACCATGAACTTTTCATGTTATTATAAAACGCTGGAATGATCAAGAAAAATATATGAGCTGAACTTGTGGCTTTCAAAGATGTAGAGAGAGATCATCAATAAAGTACACGTCACAGAACGATTAGTTCTGCTGGACGGTTGAAACTGATTTTGCGTGTGCAAGATATTTTTACTACACATGTGAATACAGCAAAAGAGAAAAACCCCAAAATCCAAGGATGTATTGTAAATGGGGTGGTAAAATAGGTCATTCAAGCAAGAACCAGCTTGTTGATACCGCATTTAAATATAACGATGCTATAAGTTAAAGGGAAGATCGAAAAGGGGAGTGTTCCAGAGGTTTGTTGGCCTTGAGGAAAAAACATGATTGAATGGTAGAAATACGACACCTAGGAATGGTCACCTGTAATTGGTGACTAGCCATGTGTATACCGGACCTATGAGGAAGAACAGGTGGGGGTTGGACAGGGGAGGTAAGTTCGGTAGAACAACAACCGATATAGATAAGATAACACGACTGCGAAAGACCAAAGCAGAAAAGTCACATATATCAGATCTCAGGCAGATGGTGAGGGAGGAGTGGTCATCGACATAGCTGGAGTAAATGGCGCTTGGAGAGAAATCGAACAAGGAAGCGTTTCCTGGACGTAGTCGACAAGAAACCAGAGGGGATGAAATTCGCAGTGTGCTGCGTCAGCATCATCATCATACAGCGAAATAACGTGAGGCGAGCTTCACGGATCGCTGCCATACTCGCAATGCATACAAGGTCAGTGGTAAAATTTAAGGTGGACAGGGATTGGAACTATTTTGAGATAGGGGAAAGAAGGTGAACATTGATGGTCAACACACAGAGAGTGCACAATCGAACTCTGAATACATACCGTTTCAAGCATTCTGACCTGATAAGAAGCGACAACAAGAACGCCACTGTTGTCGGCTCGCTGCCATATCCTTTAATGTATCCAACCAACCAGTTGTGGAGTCTTTCGGACCCCAACCTGGAAGGCGAGAGACACCAAATCTACCTGTCTCTGCATTTCTTCATGTCTCGCCTCCACGTCATCTATGGACCTCTACGTGGTTTTCTCCAGCCCGGATTAGCTACAGCGAATAAGGCGCGGTGCGACAGACGACAGCGGGGCATACGCGATACGTGCCTTAGCCAGCGAAGTCTACTAATCTGAATTCGGTGTGCCAGCAGGATAATACCTGATAGACTCCCTAACACGCGACGGATTACCTCCACGTTACTAACCCGTGCAAAGCACTTACCGAATGTGGCTACTGCACCTGTTAATCTATTAAGTGCGCTTTGCGCGTCCTCCATACATTCCAACAGACAGATGATATCATCGGCGTACTCTAAATCGCATAGCTTTTCTCCAGCTGCCCATCCAATACCTACGTTTTGGGTCCACTTAGTGTGTTCTCCAGTATTTCGTCTGCGACGAAATTGAACGCTGCTGGTGACGAACGGCATATTTAGTTCGTTGTAAACCTTTGCACGACCGGAGGTCTGGGAGTACAGTGACCTCAGTAAGTTGACGTACTTCTGGGAGATTTCTTTTCGAAGGGAGCCCATCAGAGCTTCGCGGTCAACTCAGTCGAAGGCTCCTTTCAGGTCAAGGAACACTACGATCGTTGGCCGACGGTGGATATGACGCAGATCAAGGATCTGACGGAACGTAAAAATTTGATCAATATATCCACGGCCAGGCCGGAATCCGGTTTGCTGTTCACGGATGTTGGTCTCTCCTAAAGGCGTCAGACGTCAAGTATAACCGAAGCTATCGCTTTGGTGACGATCGGGATCAAACTAATCCCGTGGTCGTTTTCGCAATCGTTGCAAGATCCTTTCTTGAAAATGGGAACGATCAGTGATTCGCCCCAAGATGAAAGAATGTGTTCTTGCGTCCAAATGTTGCGCAGTAGGGTAGTATCAGAGCTTACGATGTTATCACCCCCACCCCCATCTTCAAAAGAGTGGGAGGGAGCTCATCTGGTCTTGCTGTCTTTCCTCGCTTCATAGATTGAATGCAAGACCGAACTTCTGCTTCTGCTGGAGGATCGCATGACACTGCCCACGAAGCTTCATTTGTAGATGAAGCAGCATGTTATTGGTTTTCAAGCTTAAGGAAACTGGGCTTAGCCCCAAGGTCTTTAACTGAGTTTGGGCGTTCCTGTTTGGGTGAACTTTTAATTTTTCAGTTTTACCTCCTTTTCATTGAATACATAATGGTATAGTTTTCAGGAAACGGGAAGCGGCCAATCTAAGGGTTGCCATAGAACACAATGTGGAGGCAGTTGATGATTGGATTCAAACACGTCCTCCAGGGTGATACTTTGGCGACTTTACCACTGGGCTACCTAAGAGTGAGGATGTCTCTCGGAAGAGGGCTCCCTACAAACAGGGTCCCGCAAGGATGTATATTAGGCCCCGATCTTTCTAATATATCAGCGACATGAAGTCAGGAAGCTGGAAGTCTAGAAGGCAACTACACCTTGCACAGTGACATCGCAAAGATAAGCGAATGGTCTCTCAAATGAGACTTTTCAGTAAATACACTGAAGAGTCACTAGCTAGCCGAAGTGTTACAACCTCTTCCTTGACATCTCAATACGGACGGAGCGCACACAACAATTGCCTACATATCAAAAGCGAGAGACCTTGAGAAAAGAGTCCCAAACACTTCTACCACTGAAGCAGCAACGTTGAAAGCCAGGCAAACGATGATCAAGAACCGTCTCCCTAGCGCATTCATGTCACCATTGTAAGCAACCATCGTACGGCCTGAGCACTTAATCTTTTGAAGGACAGAAACGTCCTAGAAGACGTTCAGTGGTTTACAACTTCGGATGGTTTGAGGTCAAAAATAACGCGAGAATAAATCCCCTGAACCTGCTATCTCCTGAACGCTGAAGATTGAGAGGGGATCTAACTGAAGTAGGCATAAGCCACCAAGAACGTGGAACAGTCGCCCATAAGGCTCTTGTTCAGTTTGTGGGCCAACAACATCCTTCTAGAGCACTAGTACACACCTGAGAGAACCAGGAGCAGGTTAGCAACAAAACACTACTTCTATGCAAACAGAGCAGTCCCTGGCTGGAACAAACTACCGCCCTAAATAGTTGAATGTCCCTCAATAAATGGTTTCAAACTAGATGTTATAGCTGCACACCCATGGCTTGTGGAGATCACAAATCACTGAACAGGAGCGGGCTGATTGTAATTTTGGCAACAAGAATAACAGGGTCAATAGGTTAACTGCAGAACAATGACTATTAGACCTGTCAATACTGGTAAGGTCAATAGCGAGGCCGAACAATTGGGGGAAATCCGATGCAAGTGAGCTGCGGTATATATTGAGCTCTCGTCATATGAATCGCATCCACCGCATTCCATTAGTCATCTGTTCTAATCTATTCATCTCGAACAAGAAACAACTCGGTTGAACAGGAGAGTTTTCGTCTGAACAGGTGTCGAACTGGCGAAAGAATTTTATATATTTCAAATGGTCCACAAATGAGTGCATGACTTTAAATAAATGGAAAACGGGATAAAGATCGGTTGTTACCACGTCACCACGTCAACCGCAGTCGTAGATGAGTGAAATAACTCTTTGATTTCACGATTGCAAGAGATCTGTGTGGACAGATATTTTATTCGTCAAACAAATAATGGTTTGCGGGTGTATACACCCGCAATATATATATTCCTCGCAAGTGGGTGTCTTTTTCCCAAAGCCATAAGTTTTGCTTTAACGACCTTAACGCTGACCATTAGGTAGGACCGTGAAGAAAGCCAGCTTTGTGATAAATAGATTGCACATCCTGATTCGTTAACGAAGAATTCTTTGTATTGGTCATGCCGAGTCAACGTTTTACTCGGGAAGGCAACATTTGAGGGATGTAATGAGTGTCAACCCTTTCCGCTCATGTACCTTTTC